TTGATCCAAGTCTAACAACAACCTTAAACAAAATTAATATCATTAACTTGCGAAGGCTTTAAATCAGTAGTTATTTATTCCTCATCAAAAAATATGAAAAAAGTACCTACAAATATGGGCATGGCAATGCATAGTTTTAGAGTTTAAAACTTTTTAAAATTAGGTTTTTGTAATTATCTTAAATGCCATTATTTTTTTATTTGAATTTGCTGTAGGTTTGACTAATAGTAATAATAACTAATAGCAATAGTGTTTAATAATAAATTAAGTAAAATATGTAATTTACTAATTTTATTTTTATTTTAATTTTATTAATTGTGATTAATAATATTGCGTTTATCTAATCGAGGAGGCCGAATTCGACAAAATATCAAGAAATAACTTTTAATTGGCATTTAGCATTAAATGGCCTACACAATTTTGATATCAAAAAAAAAAGTCAGCGGCGCACATGTTTTTTTTTAACGTCCCTGATAAATTTATCAAAACTTTTTTAGCAATAAAATATGTAGCACTTATAGTAACTCTTACCCTTAAAATTTCATTCAAATCACTAAAAGTACTTGAAAGAAAATTATAATAAATCGAAAGATTATTAAGACTTTAACACCCTGTAGCTACAAAACAAAGCAGAATCAGATCTATGTTGATATGAAAAATAAATCTTATTTTTACAAACACCCTGTATAACTAACAATATAAATCCTTTCTTCTTCTTACAGTGCCATACTCTATATAGAGCGTCGGCTACCTCTCGCATGTACTTGTGATGTGTGTCATCAGTGTTTCACAAGTACACGGGACCTACAGTTTATCGCCGAATCCGAACGGCACTATTTGAGAGGTTGTACAAGGCAAATATACTGTACATCTGCTGGATCTGTGTCTATAAAAGGAATGCGGGCAAAAAACATTTAAATAAACAGCAATATATTTTATACGTCGTTTTGACGAGTGCGTCACCGCAAATCGCTCCGCCCACTCATTTTATTGGCTACTTGCAAATTTGTCGAATTTTTATTGATGGGACGCGTTGTTTAATTTTTTACGAGAAACATCCAGAGAATATCGTTTCCCCTCTCACGGATACCCCGTAGCTACAGAACGGACAGATGTACTACTCAAGGTGGTTTACCATTGCCTTCCTTGAGGTGGCGACTCGTTGGTCGCTCTATTTAGATAAATAAATATTTTTATTTAAATAAATAAAGTGACCGTACTGGCTGGGGATTGAACCCAGTACCTTCTGCTCCGCAGATCGACACACTAACTCTGGAGCTACGGCCGGCCACATAAATCTTTTAAATAATAATAATATAATATATAACACAATGTAAATAATGTCTTTCAAATATTAATATTGGTGTTTTTTAAATATTCAATAAATCTTTGTTGTTTTTGCTAATCGCCATATTGTATACCGGGTGTGTCTCAAAAATGGCTCACCCATATAACTTTTTTATTTTTTCAAATAAAAAATCGAGATTTGGTATGTTATTATATGAAATATATTAGGATTGATTGGCATATTTAATTGTTTCGCCAGAAATGTGACTACAAATTTTGATATTTAAATGACACCCTCGGTATTTTGTTACTTTATTCGATAGAAAATGACACTCTGAATAGAATAACATATCATATGTCAACTTTTGACTCAAATCCTCTCATCATTTTCTATCAAATAAAGTAAAAAAATACCGAGGGTATGCCATTTAAAAATCAAAAGTTGAAGTAATTTCCGGTGAAACAGGAAGTAACCGAAAACAATTGAATACGTTAATTATTCCTAATTTATGACATATACTAATATACCAAATCTCGTTTTTTTTATCTGAAAAAATAAAAAAGTTATAGGGGGTGAGCCGCTTTTGAGACGCACCCGGTATATCTATATAAATTACCTACACCATTTTTTGTAAGTCCAAAAATACACACCATGTTAACATAAAAACAGTATATTTTATGTAAAATAGAAAATTAAGATAAGTAATTTTAAATTTAGTCTGTGAATTTAGTCATTTATTTTTATTATTTTTATATTTCATAAAAATAATTTTAGTAAAAAACATAATATTACAAAAATACATCCCTGTTGTATTATTTTTGTTCAGGATTTCAGTTGAAATGGCTGCGGCGCGGCGTATAGTTATTTGTCCTTCACCCACCTGCCAAATCATTGTTTGTCACCTTCCACACGTTACAAATAATGTTTTTTCACCTGGATTCATTCATTTTCACTCAATATAAAAGATATAATACAGTTTAGCTTGTGATACCAATTGGCTACCGCATTGGCGTAGCCTAATTATATATTTTCTTCTATTAGAAGTTATAGCAAAAACGGTATATTGTTCTTTGTCCTAGATAGTTTTCATGTTTAAAAATAAAACCGCTAATATAATATAATTCGCTTTAATTTTACAGATTTATTGTTGACTCCATTGCTGTAAAACGTTTATCCATTATTCTACTTATAGTAGCTTATCATGCAACATTTACGTTACAATATATTTTAAAACAATAAATAAGAATAAAATAAATTACTGAGGGTGGTATCTTTGAAATGTTAAATTTCATCTGTAATAATAAATAAAATTCGGGTAATATAAATTAATATTAAATTAATATTAATAAATAATTATATAAATAAATAATATTAAAATCCGTTGTTGAAAATATAAATTAGATATTCAGACACGCATGCTTATCGCTCGTCTTGCACAGTAAGCTTTAAGTAGTTTTAATCATGTGCAGATGATGCTAACATGGTACAGTGCAGATGATTTTAACGCGCGTCCAGTGCAAAAGTAAAGAGTTTTATTGTATTGTGGTGAATTAGTGTTTTATTTTACTGTTTAACACCAAAGGTCAACCCTCAACTGTAAACTTAACACCAACCCTCAACTGTAAACTTAAGATGTAATACAAAACTGAACGCAAGTAATCAAACACACACTCCGTTGTATTTAAAGTTTTCTCTTCATTCTTTACTTTTCTAAAGCAAACACGGATCGTGGGAAATTATTGATTTTAAAGAATTCTTATACTTCTTTAATTTTTTGCGAAAATATGTCCTTAACGATTTTATTTTCTTCACCGCCATATTCTTGTTTGCTGCTGGATCAATCGGGACAGCCGCGTCGAAATGCGATCCTGTTCACCATCCACAGAACGTAGGCACCAGGAAAACTAAAATCAGTCAATACTAAGGGGCGAGTATTGACTGGAGAAAACAAAGCCCCCATCAGGATTTTTCCATTAGGAGTTTGGGAAAAATCGCTGATAGTCTGGTTATCGACGGGAAGATCAATGGAAAGGGAATTAGAATGACTGTGGACGCTGGCGCTATGGTATCGTTGGTGCGGACTAACTCAGCGCAAGGGTTCAAGCTGACACATGACGCCTCTTAGAAGAAGAGTGTGCTGTACGGGGAGAGGCTAGGGAATTTGAAATTTCAGCATAGCGTTTTAGTGGCAGATATTGAAGATGACTTCATCTTGGGCATGGATGTGATTCGTCAACAAGGATTTTTGTTCGATCACCAGAGAAATATCTTAAATATCGGAAATGAAGAGTTAATGTTATCTCCAGACGAGGGACCAGGAAGAATGGATGTAAGATCAGGGAAAACTGTACCTGGTAATACCGAGAAGATCGTATTCGGTAAAGTGGAGAAAATCGCTGATTGCTGTGTTGGACTGGTACAAAATAGCGACAAGAAACAATATAGGTACTTAGTAGGAAACTCATTGGTTAACATCGACAAAAATATACCAGAATTGCAAAAAAATATATCAGAAAATCCTTGCAAATATCTTCCCAAATTGTGTCAAGATTCAAAAAGGTGACAAGATAGCCATCTATAAACATGTAAGAAGTGTCACCAAATGTCGTCAGCTGTCACACAAATGCATCCAAAGAAACGCTAAAACATCTACAGCAGCTATGGGATCACTTAACATCTGAGGATAAACAGAAGGCTAAGCAGTTCCTGCTTAGGCATGGCAGTATTTTCGAGAAGAACAACAGTGGAAGAACGGATTTCGTGAAGCACCGGATTAATACTGGTCATGCCCAGACGATTAGACAACGTCCTAGAAGGGTGTCCCTTTCCAAACAACAATAAATGGAGACAATGGTAGATTAGAAGATGGAATGATCGAATAATCATCAAGTCCATAGTCATCTCCTGTTGTTTTGGCGACGAAGAATGTTGGTAGTACACGATTCTGCGTGGACTATAGGAAGCTCAATTACGTCACTAAGAAAGATAGCTACCCACTGCCACGTATAGATGACACGTTAACAACACTGGCAGGTTTAAGCTAGTTCTCCGCTCTCAACTTAAACAGTTGACACTGGCAAGTGGGTCTGGATGAGGACGATAAAGAAAAGACAGCGTCTACAGGAAGCGGACTATATCAATTCACGGTCATGCCGTTTGAATTATGCAATGCTCCAGCCACTTGTAAGTGGTGCTATTGGTGCTTATTGTAAGTGGTGCTAAGAGGATTAACTTGGAAAACGTGCTTTGTTTACCTGGACGATGTATTGGTTATAGGAAAGACTTTTGAGGATTTCGTATTGGGAACGCATTCGTACTAATTCAAATTTCTAAAAATACCTTTAATATAATTGGCGATCGGAATGATTTTTTTATTGGCATATTACTTTAGATAAATATAATATTAAGGTTAGAACCTTTGGTGTTACCACAAAATAAAACACTATTGTTCATCATAATACTTTAAAGGACTTTACGTAAACTCTTCATACGCATTTTGCTAACCAAATCATCAGCAGATGATTAAAACTCTAGAATTTTTAATCGATTTTTTATGATTATTACGTGATTGATGATAATTACTTATTCACTTTTATTCTATCTTTTTGTAGACAGAAACAAACTACCTTCATTGTTAAATAGAAATAATAATAATAAGGAATAATATAACGGCTGTTTTTTATACCTACTAATATTTATTTATTTATTTTAGAAACTCAATAACATGAAGTGCTCATCTATCAGACTTACGACTAAAAACGATTATCTAATGAAATCTGCTCCATTTAAAAATTCAGCAAAAATCGATCAACTGGCTACAACAAACTGGGTTACTAACGGATATCATGGGTAGGTTATAATTTACTATAACAATAAAAAATTATTATCTAGTATAGAATTATATATTGTTTGTAGTTATTCATATAAACTTGGTAGAAATAAGCATACAAGATTACAAGCTCAGCCTAGACTAACAATAACAACATTAACATTTCCTGATACCATTTCCTTAGATATGGAAAACACTACAAGCAGATGGTCTACAAAAACTCCAAGGCTTACAAGTCATAGAAGCAAAAATTGTACTCCCCGAAATAATGTAATGTGTAATTACGATGAAGATTACAGTTTTGCCTACGAGACTGTATACGACAGTGAATGTCTTAACACCAGAGCGCACGACGAAATTATATATGAGAATGAAGATTTGAAACTTGATTTCGATAGCTACTTTGTTGCAGCTGATATCGAAGAATTAATCCTAAAATCTCAAGAAACAGTAAAAGGTGTGGACGCAAATACTCAAATAAAACTTAAGAAAAAAAATAAGAGGAAAGACGAGAAAAATACTAAAAAAACACCAGACAAACAGAAAAAATATATACGATTCTCGTTATCCAGGCCACCAAGTCCTAAAACTGAGCAGGTGATTAGGGTTGACGTTACTTCCAATGTGTCTTTCGGAGGCAGTTCTGAAACTGAAAGTAACCTAAATTTATTTAAAGTAAACCAAACTTGTAGAAACCACAAACAGAGAGAAAATAAGCATTCCGAAAAAATGGAACATGAAGATTTTAGGAACAATAAACATAAGGAAAATAAGCATTTTGAAAAAATGGAACATGACAATTTTAGCGTACGATGCAAGCAAGTGGCGTTAACTCAAAAAGTCGTATAAAATTGCTTTCACAATATTCCTAAAAATCACATGTTTATTGAAATACTTCATTCAAACAAACTTTTTCATAGTTTCGTATAATATAATAATAAAAATCATACAATTTATTTCAATTTAAGTAATATTAATATATATTATCGGAAAAATTGTTTGTTTTAATATAACTTATACCCTAGAGAATCAAATGGTTCAATCATATCTCAAACGTATCAGTCTTTGAAAAAGCTAACTGCAAGAGCATTGAAGTCATGGTTACAAAATCCCGCTTAGGACGGGCTGGTCACGTATGCAGAATGCAAGAAAACTGCATACCAAAAGCTGTGCTTTACGGTGAGCTTGTAGACGGTAAATGGAGGCTGGGTGGACAACTCAAAAAGTACAAAGACATTTTCCACGAAAACTTAAAGGGGATTAACATGCAGAATGAGTGGGAAGAAGCAGCTCACAATAGAACTCAATGGAGAAGAATTGTAAACTCAGTTAACAGCGACAACCAAAAAGAAAAGAGGCAACAAAGCAATGAGATTTTTGAATGTCCGGAGTGCGGTAGACAGATAACATCACGAATCGGGCTGTTCAGTCACAGAAAAGATCGTGAAAGAAAACGCCTTGCGTGAACTGCGTGATCGCGTGATCTTCTGATGCGTGTCAAATACTCGTCATCGAATAATGGTAGTATGTATGTATACCCTAGAAAATATATAAGGAAATAATTAGAGAGAATAATTATAAACTCAAACATGTATTATTCAATTGATTCGTATTGATGACTGGCATTTAGTCACTCACTCGCTTAGCTGTTTTAATCTTTAAACCGTTCAGTGACGCCAACCAAATCTCAACTACTTCTGAAGCTTGTAATATTTTCGATATTTACTTCATTCAAGTCTTACTAGGTTCAAGACAACTTACACTTATATAAATCCGGATTCATAGCATCCTACGCCTTCGGGTACCCAGTTACCAGCCTTTCCTATTTTCCCAATCCCCTGGATGAAAATTTCTTTCCGACATAGCTCCTCCAATGCATGTTGCTTTTGGCTTTCCCTTTTCTCTCCTTTCTGATGGTATCCATTTCAGGACTTTCTTAGGTATTCGCTCATTCTTTCTATATGCCGATACAATATCCTGTATTTCATCTATTATCGTTTGCTGGACATGCATACTTTCCCTTATATTTTTGTTCAGTACTCTCATTCTTGATTTCCCCGCAAATCTTCGCCAGAAGTCTATCTCGAGTGCTAATAGTCGTTGTTCCATTATATTAGTATAAGCTGCCATGTTTCACATCCATACAAAACTATACTTTTAAAGATGATATTATAAATATTATGTTTTTTCTCATATGAGATGGGTTTGGACCATATGTTTGGACCTGAGTTTAGGCACCCGATGACTTTTTTTCTTTCAGTATTCTTCCCTCCTGAGTTCCAAGGTAGGTGTATTTACTGCATGTCCCTATTTCTATATTTCCATCTAGATGTTAGAGTTTCTGCTGCTTGGCCTATACTGGGTGCGTCCCAAAAGTACAGCTCACCCTTGTAACTTTTTTATTTTTTCAGATAAAAAACGACATGAAAATGACTACAACTTTTGATTTTTAAATGGCACCTTCGGTATTTTTTTACTTTATTTGATATAAAATGACACTTTGAATAGAATGACATAGTGTATGTCAACTTTTGATATTTTTGCTTAAAATAAAATTATATTTTAAATTTTAATCTGGAATATCATGGCCGTGTTAAAAACACTAATTTTTAATCAAGGAGCCTTGAAAAAAATAGTTTTGATCGTCTAATGTTTTTCGTGTCGTGTCTTGGCCGGTTTATTAATTAATATACCCAAATCGTATTTAATCATATCTTATTTTTTTTCAATTGGAACGAGGGTGGTTCATTAGCATAATTGGAAAAAGCATTTCTTTACGAATAATTTGGTACCACACACTTGGTATTTCGAGTCAAATTATCGTTATGAACCGCATGTTACAATTTCAAATAAACCAAATGCGAAAATGTCAAAAGTTTACATATGATATGCCATTCTATTCACAGTGTCATTTTCTATCGAATAAGTTAAAAATATACCGAGGGTGCCATTTAAAAATCAAAAGTCATTTCCGGTGAAACAGGAAGTGACCATAAACAATTGAATACGTCAATCAATCGTAATTCATGTCATATATTAACGTACCAAATATCGTTTTTTTTATCGGAAAAAATATAAAAGTTATAGGGATGAACCACTTTTGAGACGTACCCGGTATATAAATATTTAGGCTTCCACGTATTTACAGACAAACCCCACTTTTCATACTCGTTCAAAAGTGTTCTAGGTCTTCCTTAAGTTGCGCCACTACCATTTGATCATCTGCAAAGTGAAGGTTGTATTACAGATTAGGTATACTATATGTATACAGATAAAAATCTTGTCCCTAATTCGTGGTACGAAAATTGTTTTTTATGACGATGAGCAAACGAGTAAAATTCCTGTGCGCAAACATAAACTCGCGTTTAAACAACGTAATAACTGGGCCGGTCAGGCGCTGTTCACAATTTTAGAGGCCATAAGTGGGCGTGCTATGTGCGCAAACTAGTAACCTAACTAGTGCGCGACTCCGAAAATTGGAACCACGAAAACAATGCTTTTGGCGATAAGTTTATAATCTGTATAATCTGTAGTTGTAGAGAGCGGTTTCGTCGTTAAGTTGGTTAGTTTAAACTTAACCTAACCTATGATTTTATCATTATCAATTGTAATTGGTTGTGCTGTCTACACTACTAACCTACGCTTAGAGTCACCGAAATGTACTTTTATAATATAAAACTGGTTCAAATGAGGCAAAAGCCTAACATTTAGAAAATACAATTTGACAATTGCATAATTATAGGATGTAGATACAACTTAATGTACCTACGTTGGCATTTGCCTGGTTTTGCATTATTACCTGTTCAGTTTGAATTTAAAAATAGATGCAATTTTTCTTAAATTACTTAAAGTCGTCTTGTCCAAAATAGTTTAAATTTGACATGTGTATTCAACAGACGCAGACGTTTTAAAAACCTATTTACAACCTCGCTGTAAAATTAACAAGGAGCCAATATCTAGGCAGTTCAATATTTGCATGCGATTTCCTATATTTCCAATGACGAGGCACCACCCGGTATAAATCATATTGCAGTATTAATGGCATTGACCAGGAATTCGCAAACAACTTTTCCATCACTGTTCCTGTCAAAAACTTCGGCACTATAATAATTCTCGAACTGAAATATTCTTTCTATCACTACTGTAAACTGTAACATTGTTTTTGTTTGACCACACAATATCTACATAATATTGCCTTGATGCCTTGAATGAAATTAACATAGCAATAGTATAATAGTTATTTTTTATACAAGACGATAAAATGGTATTTTATCGTGGACCGAAAAGATTAATTCACGAGCGATGAAATCGTGAGTGAATTAATTTCGGCAGACGATAATGCAATTTTATCGTCGCGCGTCGTGTATAAAATGTTTATATTTTTTCCATAGCGAGTTTCGTTTTAAAAAATATTCAGAAATTATTATTTCAAAGAATTTATTACGAGTAGAAAAAATATTGTGCTGGGTTGGCGTTGGTTTGTATATTTCTATGTAACTTGACAAATAAATAAAGCTGTCTCTTTAGTTGTCAGTTTTGAGTCAATATTTTTTAATTCTCCTTCGTGTCGATTGCTGATTGAATTGGAGCCAGAAATGGCTGAAAACGATATGAGTAAATTACCAACAGATATTCAGGCTGAGGCGACAAACGAAATATCCAAACTACTTCCATTTAAATCTCGAATAACTTATGAAAAGGAATACAAAAATTTTCAAAAACGGAAGCAATTAAAAAACGTGCGAGAAGAAATAAAGTTTTTAACCTATCCTCGCTGTTAAGCATCATTTAATCTACCCTTGCGGTTAAAGTACTATTTTTGATAGATTTAGGGCAATTTTAACAGCTGCTATGGAAAAAATAACTTTAATATGCTTTTAAATTTCCTTTTGGTATAACCACGTATAACTCGGAACAGATTTATTATAAATTTGTTCGCATAAAACAAAAACGATAATCTTAATATCCTTGTTGAATCCGAAAACGAGTTAGAACGCGATACTAATTGGTCCTAATTGGAACTTATCAAACCACCTGTCCATCACACCTGCTTAGCTCCCATCGCTTTGCAACTTTACCATTTCGTACGGTGGTATCAGTCGGTATCACCCTCGTAACCGACGAAAAAACCTTATGTATTTTCACTAAGCGCCTTACGTAAAGCCTCAAAAAAGAAATTTTTAATTATTAATGTCGCAGTACCATACCAGAAAAAAAATCGAATTACCATCACTTCTTTGTCGTCGAAAAATTAATTCGTCGTCTGCGAAAACACTTTTTAAAACCAACGCCCGCGCCGTATAATTTAATGAAAAATTCAAAACCTATCGCCGAAAGCTCTATCGATAATTAGGAGTATAAATTAGTAACATAATTTTAGCATTAGCATCAACTTTGCCCTCGCGCAAGAGCGCTGTCTCAGTCCCCCCTCTTCGATAATTGGTCCATCCTTCTCTACGCGTCAACCTTTATCCCTTCGGAGATTTGCCTTTCATTAGGACATCGAATTTTACTTTTGGGCTGCGACATCTAAGTATTTTACAGTGAATATAATTTTTATAAATTTCTTTTTATAGGCTAGTTTATAATTTATATGAAATAGAACAGTTATTTTTGAGGAAAAAACTCTGCCTAAAGTTAAATGAATAAATGCGAGAGAACTCAGCAGATGATTCCTTAAAAATAGGAGTTGTTTTTCTTATAAAATTAGTATTAACACAGTTATTTGGTTATACAGAATGTACCAAAATTATCAACATCAATTTATTTGACGCCTAGCACTAGAAGATAAAATTTGATTTTTGGATGGCACTAATCAAATCAAATTTTTAGTAGAAGTCCTATTTGAGCATGTCACATACAGGTTATTCAAACAACTACTCCATTTGCAATGTTGTATT